CTAAAAAGGGCTATCAGAGGGTCGCCACCCCATGCGGCAGTCTTCTCTAAGCCAGCTCTCGAAGTCCTAGCGCGAGAGTATGTCGTGTTACCCCCCGAAGTGGCCAGGCTACACTCGCATAGGTTATCGGCCCACTTCTCAATGACGAGGTCAATGATAGGACATGCCAACCTTTCTAAAGGCGGAACCGCAAGCTTCTTACAAGCCCCACGGATACCTTCATAGGTCTTACCCTCGCAGTACAGTGCTGCCTGGCAATACCGCTCCTGCAGCTTGTGATTGCCAGTGTTTGTCCTCCCGCAACCTCCACTGGCCAATCGAGACTATTCGTGTGCCCGCAATCTGCGTACTATGCGTAGGGGACACCAGCGGGCCATAGGGATGACCATAGCATGATGCTTGAGGTACGGAGTGTTCAGATGCTGCCTGATGGCCGGTCCGTGCTCGGGATGTGATGCACGCATTGCTCCTCCCCTGTACGCATGAGTAGGTGCACTATCTATACACGTCCGAGTCGGGCCTAGTGTTTGGGACATCAATATTGTAAGTAGGAAGCTGCAGCCTCGCTTTTCTCTTGCGCATCAAGCAAGTGCCTTGCGTTGCTCAAGCACTGACATTTGTACCTATCTTTTCAGGCTCAAGTAGAGCAGTAGGCTCACACAGGTTTCTCAGAGGCTAATCTGGCGCAATCCACTAGAGTGGGTTAGATCCCTGTAATAACTGTTTGTTTACTGTTTATAAACTGTTTATAAACATTTACAACCGTTTACTGTGTGTTTACAAAAAAAGTTTACATGTAAACTAAACGGTTGGAGCCTTAATTGACACATATAACCTAGCGCCCATTTACCGGCCGCGAAGAAAATTAAGGGACAGATCCAGAATGTTAGGCACGCTTCCTGGCCTGTCACATATCCCACTCAGCTCTTGACATTTGAGCTTGTCGTACAGCGGTCAGTGATGCAGTGATGTCTGTTTGGCTCTATTTGGCCCGGCTGATGCGCCGCCAGGCCCGCGCTGTCCGTGGCGATCACCTGCTCCTTGCCCATACCAGTGGGTCTCGTCTCATCTCGTCGGAAGGCGTTGTTCTAATGCGTCTGTGGACTAGATGCAGCTAGTAAAGAATATATGCAGCCCTAGCACGACCTCTCTGCGCTGTCGTGTACCTTGTGGCTTGTACAATAGCTCCATGGTCGCTCTGCGGGTAACACCGACCCTCTACTTGTCAAGGATGATGCTAGTAGTGTGGTCGGTCATCACCTGGTTGACGCTCGTAGCCCTGCGGCCGTCAGCAAGCTTGTCGCCAGGGGGCGCGGTGTATCCTCGACGCTACACGAGGCATTGTTTAGGTGAGACCTTGTCCAATAAATATTAAACGTACACCATGTTGAGCGAAGACCGGATGTTGCTGTCGAACATCAGCGGCTTGCGGCGGAGATTCGCCTCGAAGAACATTCCTACCTCTCCGGTCTACACAGACAGACATCAGACAACAACGCGTATGAAGCACGCAACGTACACACCTGGATAATTTTCTTCGGGGCCTTAGGCACCTCGACGGTCGCCCGGAAGGTGATGCTGCCGGTCGCCTCGTTCGCCTCGTCGTTCCACATCATCTTGCGGTACTGCTCGCGCGTCATGTGCTGGCCGTTGACGGTGACCGTAGCCTGCGGCGCGACCATCGCGTCGAATGCCTTGTCGAAGTTGTCCTTGGACTTCGCGGTCATCATCTCCTGCATGTGCTGCTGGGCCCAGGAGCCGAGCGTGAGGACGACGGGACCGGGATCCATTGTTGCTGGTCGTATGAAGTGTGGTGAGTCAAGTTGTGATTGTGATAGAGACAGAGTGTGGTCGTTGGTGTGTCGAATGTCGTTCTGAGCTAACGAGCTGGGATTTAGTAGCATTTGCCAGCGCTATGTATATCCGGAAACGTTGGAGCGGGGGAGCTACGGCTCATCGCAGGGGCATTCCTCTGACGTCTCGTGAAGCCGTAATTGCAAAATCAGAACCACGTTTTGTATCCCATCAAATATGCCACTCGGTAAGATGAGTCGCGAACGGTGTCTCACGCCACTGTGGCAGCCTACAAGCTACCTGTGGCCAATCAGGACGTCGAACCTTGACCAAAAGCGATTCTCATAATTGGAATACCTCAACAAGTTTCCACCCCGAGAGTGGGGACTAATATGATGCGACGCCAAAGCCTGATTTCTTCGGTCTGCGGCTGCATTCATGGAGAAAGTTGCAGGGGTACGCAATGTTACATCCGCGATCATTGCACTGAACTGTCGGCCATACAATGCGGAGAGCATATTGATGGATTTGAATGACTGAATTTACATGGCACGAGGGGCATCATAGGGCGGAGCCATTTATCTTTCCATGGCAAACACCCTTGCGACTCCGGGAAATGTACCCATAGAATTTTTTGTGCGCTATGATGGCACGCAGCCAGAAGAACCCTCCCAGTATCTAAAGAATTGAAGTCGCCGTCGCACTTATCAGAGTAGTTTAGCGACATCTTCGAAGGCTGTTGATGGAGTGGATTCCTCGTAAAGCTTCGGACAGGTCCTATGACTTTTCTATGATTACCCTGGCGGTGATTATTTGGCTCTATTTGGTAGATGTGATAGGCGCCAAAGTCCCATGTTCTCAAGCTATCGAGAACGTGTTCGGTGGTGGCGAGCTCAGCGCTCGCCCGAGGTGCGATTCCACCCCCCTCCCAAGGAGAAGATACATAAGCGAGAAGTATTTGGGACTGCCAAACCCGCCGCGGACTGCTGTACATAGCGCTGTAATGCCATTTATCCACATCGTCATTAGCTCTACAGTGCTTTTGCAGGCGAGATTACAACATAAAACAACATTGCAATTCATCAGGTCTCAAAGCATATCGTGCGCAAGCTTGCACCGCCCACCGCCAACCTCCGGTTGGCTGGGTGGGCAGCGCACCTGCGCACGCGGCGCGGCAAAGCAGGGCGCCAAAGGACGCGCGTCTATTAGGCTCCTGTCCAACCTCCTATCCTGCCACCTCGAATCCAAGATACCGATTCCAGGGGGAATCGCAAAAGACGTGCATATCTGACATGGCATAACCGTGGAACAAATTAGGGCACAGACCCGGCATAAACAACATTTCGGCAGTCTGCGCTACTTATAGAGCGTACACGTAACCGCAAAATACCAAAATAACTTTAATGGCTGTCAGAGACGTTGCTCGCGACGTCCGTGAAGACCTGGTTGATGTTCGTCGCCTGGCGGCCATCGAACTCGCTCGGCTCATCGTGCTTGGACTTTACCTGTTCAACACTGCGCAACAGGGATGATCAGCGACGTGTGCACTGCAAAATTAGAAGAAACGCGACGTACACAAGGTTCATCGAAGCCGTGATGTTGTTGTTGAACAGCAGCGGGTTGCGGTGGATCGACGCCTCGAAAAACACGCCGACCTCACCCGTCTGTCGCATACCCGCACCGTCAGCTCGGCTGTCTCATGTGTCAGACGCAGCATACCTGAACAATGGCCTTTGAGTTCTTCGGCACCGCAACGGTGCCCTTGAAGGTCACGGTGCCCGAGGTTTCGTGCGCCTCGTCGTTCCAGAGCGTCTTCTTGTACTCGGCGCGCGACATGTGCTGGCCGTTGACAGTGATGCTTGCGTCCAGCGCAACGAACGCATCAAACGCGTCGTCGAAGGCAGTCTGACTTTTCGCCGTGAGCACCTCCTGCAGATGTTGTTCTACCCAGGAGTCGAGAGTGAGGATGACGGGGCCGGGTCCCATTGTTGTTGACTGTTCGAGGTGAGTTGGATGTGGAGGTATGTCGTGCTTGATTGGCTCACTAGCGTGTTTGGCGAGGCTTTATATACTGACGTCGCAGCGCCAGGCATGCTCTACATGCTAGAGAGCGTGCGCTTGCCCACACTGTGTCTGCGTTCTTGCACTGCGTGTCCAACCGTCCGGCGCACAGCCTGGGGCCTCCAAAAAGGCAGCTGCGCCGCGGAGCACAAATCAAGTTCCGCGGTGCGAGTTCTGGCTGAAAGTCAGGTGCACGCCGAAACGCATCGGACGAACCTTGACGCCGGGCGGCTCGCTCGTACCCGTACTCAAAGGTCCGCAGCCAGAACTTCGCCTTCTAACGTCATGATTATGTATGGAGAGAAGCGACGTTTCTGGTCGGGGTTTACAGCAGCGGAGTGACGCGCCGCATGCGAGGCGATGTCGTGGCCTGTGCATCAAGCTTTGTAAGTAGGTTAACAGAATGTCCTAAACACCAAGTTAAACGAACCAATTTGCTGAGCACAGCGGGGCGCTGAGCATGAATGTTGGGGAATATCCCACCATTTTAATGTGGTCACTTGTACAACATGCTGATCTTCGTCGTGCGACTTGACGCGTTTGTACGCGTCAACGGTCTGGTACGCCGTGGCGTGGCGTCAGGAGTCCGCTGTAATCCGGGAGGTGCCGCTAATGCTGACAGTCAGTCAGTTGCTCGACAGGGTGCCGTATGTAAGAAGGAGGGATCCAGTACTGATGCTTTGTGACATGCCGGATGCCACGACTGTTCAACATGTCAGCTTGAACTTGACGGGCTTAATGTTTGCTTTTGTTTGCCTTAAAGCAATAGACGCCGTCGTTGCGCCTTTAGTACATGTACTTCCCGCGCATTTGCCACTGTTCTCTTGACCACCATGTCTGTCTAACGCGTCCGCAAGACCTCTTATGTTCCTCTACCCTCGCACTCGCGGTATACTGTCTAATGAATGCAAAACCAGGCTGTCTGTAACCGGACGAAGTTGTATCGTTCGATGACAAGGCCGATACCAATCGTTAACGGCTGGCGACATCTCCACGGCTTCGCTGACGCCCTGCTCCATCGTCCATCGTTCATCTTCGAGTTCTTCCGGTTGCGTCGGCGTCTGCGGCGTTTCGTGTTGGATGGAACCTTGGCTCGCGCTGAGACTTGCTTGCGCCTTCTCTGTCGGTTCACCGGCTGTTAACCACAAAAACGGTGTTCGCGAGACCCGATTCTAGACCCAGGATTCTAGCCTTCTCTGGCTTCCAGATCGTACAGAGCCCCTGTGGCTCGTCACGAAGTAATGTGGTATCCACCCTTTGCCTTGCTACGTCAAAATGTCATTTCTATTCTTTTCCCCAACGAGATAGGTGGAAAGCTCGATGGATGTTGGATCGTTTTGTGTTCGCTGCCAAGGTCGGCTCCTGGCGCCCTTATGTTTGATACATAACGACACGTCTTCTGTTTTGATGATCGTGCTTTAGGTAACATATCTTTTCCTTCTTTCCTTCCCGCTGTCGAGTGCTTTCTACAACGCCGCTTTTGGCCATGAATCTTTCCACCCCTTGCGCATTGAGGAAGTCAAGGTCGAACTGCGGAAACGATGAATCTGTGTAAAACATTTGACGACAGCAAGGCCGATTAGCTTGCCGTCTGTCGGTGCGTGCTATGCCCGCTCTCGTTCCCTACATGCTCAATCTGCCTCATACCTTAGCGTGCCGTATCAGGGTCTTCCCAGCATTTGCGAGCTTCGGGAACTTTGTATCTTATGTCGGGCATGTTCGTCCTTCACATCACCAATTTCATCGCTCGTTTTGGCGGGCGGTGACTACAATCAACGACGTTTTCAGTCAATCTTCCAGGGCATATGTCACGACCAACAAGCACACTGACGTACGCGGGCACAACGACTGCACTCGAGGTTTTTATTTTAAGGTGGCGTTGCCCTCGTTAAGCTGTAGTGACATTGTCCACCACCGTAGCCTTCAGTTCAATACCCCTCAGCTGCCCATGTGCGAGCACGAAGTGTGAGTTTGGCTCAGCCTAATGTGATCCGGTACAGTGGCACTGACTCTGCATTACGCAGTGTTGGCGACTATTACCGTGGCTGTCAAGTGAGCATAACCTTCAACTCCTGCTCCCATACCGTATTTGAGATATTTACCATTATCCCCTTCATTTCCGTATATCCTCATACGTCAGCATTTCCACGGCCGGTATTACACGGGCGAAGTTAAGGACTGCAAGGCGGAGAACTGCAAAACGAGTAGCAACCACGTGCACAAGACGGTGCGACGGTGCGACTGCCCGACGGCGAGTTGACCCTTACCCATCTTGTCCGCCGTCTGTGCTGAGGTCGGGTGTTGTGTAGGTAATGACAGAGCTTCGCCGCGTTCAAAACATGATCCAGATGCCACACGAAGACTGCGCGCCGGCCTTCCCTCGTCGGTGAACGGCATATGTGGGAGATGACGTCCTCGGCCTCTTCTGCCTGGAATCACGTGTGCACATGCTTTGCCGCCCGCTGTTCGCTGCGGTCACTTCCCGCAATAGGTTAACCTTTCGTCTGCGATGCTGTGTTCTTGACGCTGTTATATATGCTATATGGCCGTCTTCCCACATTTTACTTCGGGCTTAGCGTTCCTTACTTTTGGTACCGCGCGTGCACCGCAACGACCTGCGTCTGACGAATTGAACAGTCTATCGCATTCTTACGACATAATTACCCCACCGGGCGAGCGTTCTGTCATCCTCCTGTTCTCGTTGGTTTCGTTCTGATGCTTTAGAGCCGGTCCATGCTGCTAGTGCAAGCACTCTGGGGACTTTCGGTCAAGTACAGGCGCGAAGAAATGATGTTAAATAAAAGCAAAAGGTACGCAACCAGCTTCTCCCGTGGTGTTCCAGGTTGGCCTTGACGACTCTACACTGCACGGGGGAAGCTTACGCTTTGCCGCAAGCCTTCTCCGTGATAGGCTCGACCGTGCACGCCTTGGGGTTTTTTTGCTTTCAATGGCGTGGCATCCAGCTCAGAAGAGGCGCCCATCCCCATTGTCCGTCTCCGACCGGACCCTCTGTGACAAGCGGCGACCTAACTCTCAGTCGGCGAACAGTAAACCGAGATGGGGCTATCACTGCAATGATGGCGAGGGGCACGTAGTGAGCGTTCGCGCGAGGCGGGCGCGTCGCCCAATCAAACGGCCGTGTTTCGTGGCGGCGGCCAACGGTGGACGCTGCAACGGGACGTGACGTCTTTATCGACTACATCCGGCCGCGCCGAGTTCTTGCTCCGCCTCGCCTGCCACAGCCTCGTCTAGCTTATTGTATCTGGATGAGCTGGCTTGCCTGGTCTCCCGGCCGAAAGGAAGAGATCCGCTCATATAAAGCCCCGGCCGCGCCACTGCGCTAAGGCTCAGATACACGACCGAGATACGTAAAAAATCAAGGATGCAGAGGCTGCTCGTTTCCACGTCTCCTCTCGCACGGGGCGCCAGCGCTGCGCTACGCTATAAAAGCCCTCGCGGGACGTGCATCCGCCCTCCCAGTTTCATATCACTACATCCTTCCACCGCAAAACTCTATCACGCAAAGCATCGACACACTATGGCTGCGAACATCGTCCTCCCACCACTTACGACCTGGGCCGAGGAGCACATCACCGCGCTCTTCAACACGACGGACGAGAGCACGTTCAATGAAGCGTTCGACAACTTCGTCGCGGCCAGCCCGAGCAGCATCGTCGTGAACGGCCAGAGACTTACCCGCGCGCAGTACAAGGACCAAGTCTGGAAGGACAAGTTCCTCGAGGCCGCTGCGCAGGTACAGTACCTCGGCGCTGTGAGCGTGCCCAAGGACGAGAACGACCCGATCAAGGTCTGTTTGGCATCAAACTGTGCGCATATAGCGACCTAATTAATTATTACTCTAGGCTGGTGAGGTTGGCGTGTTCCTTCAGGCGACGATTGACGAGAGGCTGCTCGTTCTGGGTGCACCCGAGACGCGCAACGTCACGCTCTCGCTCAACCTGAAGTGCGTACCCTCTGTCTACTATCTCGCCCCTTGCTTATATTCTTCCTCCACAGTGTCATTCAGGACCCCATGCTCAAGCCGCCCTCAAACCCGGGTGGTATCCACGGCTTCTTCGACGGCCGTCGCGTCGCGTCCATCGTTGCCGTCTCGACGAGCAATCCGAATGCGACTGTCCTCCCTTCCAACCCCGGCGGACCTATCATCAACCCCGGAGGCCCCATCAAGCCGCCCACTGGCGCGAGCTCTGACTGAGTATACGACTTGGACAGGCTGTGCCGCTAGTGTTGGATATTTGGACATTTGAGCAGGAGAGTTGTAGGATATACGCAGGACATGTACGCTCGATACACGTGTAGCATGATTATAATATGCATTCAAAGACTAAAATATGTGTATGCGCGCGACGCGGAGCCGATGACGGGAAAAACTGCTCCCAGGGCGAGTTACTTAGAGCTGTCATCGAGCTTCATGCGCTTGACGATGCGCATATCATCAGGGAAGATCCTGCCCTTGCGTTTGCTGCGTAGCGAAATGGGACTGCCCTCGGAAATTAGGGATACGTCAACGATGTTCTCCTACGAGCATGAGGTGAGCCGCTTGCGAGCCCAATGGGGATAGAAGTGAGGTACCTTGTCTCCTACGCTGTCCGCGTCGGTATTCCGCGGCACGAGCGCAGTTCTCACTACAGCATCAGTCAGCCTCCTCCCTCTCAGCTGCACAAACCACAAATACGCGCATGTACACACATTCTTTGGTGCTCGAACTCTTCTGCACGCCCGCAGGCGCGCGTACTCTAAAAATCTGCGCCCGCAGCGCGGCCTGCTTCGAGCGCTCGAGCGCGATGTCCGCCTGGAGGTGCTCGGTGCGCCCCCGCAGCTCCGCGCACTGGTCGGAGAGGATGCTGTTCTCGACGTCGTGCCGCAGACTACGCTCGAGCAACGCGGGGAGCCCGTCGGTGATGCTGAAGGCGAGCGCGGCGAGGCTCGTCGCGGCGCCGGAGTCGAGTGCGGGCTCGGCGGGGGCTGGGTCGGCCATTAGGGCACTTGTGTCGTCGTAGGATGGGTGCGGAGGAGAGATCGTGAGTGCCAGCCTCGCGTTCGCGTAGAGGATAGGACGGCAGCACTGAGGCTGACCAGTGCTGACCGGCGGGCGGAATGGCAATGTGTGCTCCAGCTGTGTTGTCAGCCACTCCGTCCGCCGCCTGGACGAGAGCCATAAGAGCTGGCGGAAGCACGCGTTCAGTCCATCACCCCACTTGCTAGCTGCAGCTATCAAGATGCTCCCGCACGCAAGCAACCCCTCAAGCACTTCCCTTAGCCCATGCGATGTCTTCGCGACGGCGTGCGAGCTCAAGACCCAGCTCGCCACACTCGAGCGGCGTTGCGCCGAGAACGCCAAGGTCGGCAACGAGCTCCGCCAACGCCGCACGGAGCTGCAAGTGAGCCTGCGCGCGCTCGAGGTCGCTGTGGATGACGAGCAGAAGGCGACACGCGAGCTGCGCGACGAGCTCGAGAGGCTGAGGCGCGCGGCGGGCGAGAGCGTCACGCCGTTCACATTCACGTTCCCTACTAAACGTACCGAAGGTGCGTCATGAATATATGGTGACAGCTGGGGCACGATGCTGAACGGTGAGCGTCGCAGAGAACGAGGACGCTCAGGCCACACTCAACAAGCCTACGCGGCGCTTCGCACGGCACGTCATTCCGGAACAGTGGAAGAAACAGCTCGGCCGGGCCATTGCGTCTAATGTCAAGGGCTATGTGCGTCTCAGAGACGGCGGGGCGCCGACGAAAGAGAACGAGGTGAAGGCGCGCAAGATGCGGCGCATACTTTCGGAGAAGGTCAGGGAGAGCGGATGGAAGGTCAAGCAACACAAGGCGCGGAAGGAGAACAAGCCATATGGCGCGCATCTAGCACGGAAGAAGGCATCCTTGCTTGCCTAGGGTGTTGGCGGACGCATCTGCACTACCCTGTCAAGCGTTGGTAAGGGGAATGTATTGCTAGCGGTATCATATGTGCATGAGGACGAATAGCTAGTCCAAGTTGTTCCCAGCCCATTTTTCTTTCTCTTAGTCAGAGGCGCACAGTATAATTACTGTTCGACTACAGTTCTATCTGGAAGGGTGTTAGCGAAGGATTCGTGCAAGCCGATCGACGCAGTAGCTTGCCTTTTCTTTTTCGAGGGTTTGCTCTATCCGACTTTCGAGCTCCTGCACTCTACTCGCTTGGTCCAACGGATCAGGCTTATAAGAGCCATATCCTCCACCGTTGTACCATGCATTCCATCCTTCGGATTCCATTAGTGCTGCGGTAATTCCGGCCCTGCGACCATGATGGTTAAGGGTCGTAAGCCAGTGCTTAGGCTCCCGGTTGACGGTCCCTGCATATTCATCCTTCTCCGAAATGAAAGATGAAATGACATCAGAAACAATCCACCGCTGTTGGTGGATGTATCTCAGAAGACGATGGTATTGGCCAGCAGTCAGGCCTGTCACATCGGCCCCCAACATCTCCGTCCAAGTTCTCGTGGCCGCGAGGCGATCTGCAGCCGTCTGAATAGCCGTCGTCGAGCCTGATTGTATCGCAAGCCGATAAAGTAGGACTGGGTCGACGTCTGGGTGTCGCTGCCAGTGGGTCTGATGCTCCTCCGCAACTGAGTGGAGGCCAGAACGTCTTGCGGCGCTGAAAACTCCTGCGCGTAGCTCGGCTGCGAGCTTCTCCGATGTCCACTTGGACACGCCTTCTCCCGGGAGAGATGGATAAACGAGCTGCAACAGTGGACCAAGAACGTCGCTGTGATATTCGGCCTGAAGAATGGGGTGTTGGGAGGAGGAGCTTAACCTTGCAGCCTCGGGGGAACTCAACAACGGAAAAATCCCCGGTTCATCGATGCTGTGCGTATTTAGGGCAAGCATTAGACGGTGGACGGGAAACTCTACTCCGTCAATCGAACGGAGGACGAGGTCGGTGTCGGAAAGAGTGAAAGGGTAGGTAAGAGAGACACGCTCTGCGTCCCATGCTTGAGAGACGCCCTCGTTCTCTGTCTCCCGGCTTCCGGAGTCAGAAGCAGAATCACAGAAGCGATAGATAGCCTCGCCGTGTACGAATTGCACGAGTTTCTGGTAGACGTCAGCCGGCAAGTCTTCCATCTCTGGGATGAAGCTCATGCCTGAACGCGTCTCAGGAAAGACTACAGTATCGTTGCCGCGCATACGGCCGTGAAGGATGTCCTTCCACTCCTTGGCTGCATCTTTCGCCTCTTCCTCAAGGCGAAGGCGCCAGCAGAGCACGTATGTTCCGATGGGCATGTCGCGCATAAAGTTGTGTAGCAACCGCCGGCAGATGGACGTTGCCTCGAGCAGCTCGTACTTGAGAGTGGCTTCAAGCGTTTTGGTTAACAGCTCGAACCCGGTGATGACCGGATCGGGGATGGGATAACAGTAACGCAGGAGACAATCGAGAGTCTCTTCATCCTCGAGAACGTCTATGATAGGCGTTTGAGATGACGAAGTGGTGTCGACCGACTGCTGGAGGGAAAACATGGATCGAAACCAAGGCGACGCCAGCATGAGCACCAGCTTGTATACGTGGAAGTCGACACCATCGGACGAGCGCAAGATGATATCCCCTTCGTCATCGAACGGCGCAGAGGCGGTTATCATCGATGGTGAAGTGTTCGTCGCTTTAAAAGACACAGATTTAGCGCTCAGCAATGGTACCATGCCAGCAGATCTAGAGCAGTATGTATGTTTGATAACGGTGGCTGGGCGAAATAGGAGTCGATGACCAGTTGCAGTTGCAGCACGTGGCGGTGGCACCGATGAGAGAGCAGAAACGCGTGAGAGGCTCCGATTTGCAAAGAAAACACAGGTGCGCAGGGCTCGCTCTATCGTTATTCCATCGTTCTCATTGATTTTTAACAGCGGGTCTCCGACTGCAAGCAATACCGACCATCATGCATCACATCTGTACTTTGAGGTGTTATGCTACAATAGCCGCGCCATGGTCGAGTCGTCACGAACATGATTGCACAGGCATGAAAAGTATGTATTCCACGACACAGTGGGGGTATTCATAAGTCTGTCAAAAAAGAAAATATCTTCGGATACGTCTATTTTACCTACCTTCGGAGCGGGCTGCACTACAGCGAAGCCTTGCCCCTTGGCTCGTACGGGAGCAGCAGAGTGAGCGCACCCGCGCCGAATATGAGCGCTCCTGACACGTAAACCGGGACCGCGGTGTTCAGGTTCGCGTACAGGGCAATCACAGGTGCCTGTAGGCAATGGCATCAGTCAGACATGGTAGTGGGGAAGTCTGCAAAGGACCTACAAGGATGCCGAAGACGCGCGTAGCGGTGGCAGTTAAACCGTTGCCCGTTCCGCGATCCTTGGCGGGGAACAGCTCTGGGGAAATCGCGTATAGGACGCCATACATAATCTGTCGCGCCAGTCAGTAGCAACTCATCTGCATGTCCGATCTTGCTCACGTTACTGTGGAAAGAGTAGCTGAACCTCGATGTCAGCGGGTCAGTCCTGCATACTGACGAAGATTAGACGCACCCGCAGTTCCAACCCAGAAGCGCATTGGAGTTCCGGGCTGTGGTTGTCGCAAACAAAAACGCGCCGGTGAGCCCTTTATTTCGCGGGAGGTCGTTGAGTAATGTCACACGGATAAACGATCTGGTCACTTGCCCGCGGAAATGGCTAGTGTGCCACGGCGACCGATAAGCGGCTGCTCAACCGCCCATCCGGCAAGAAAAGCACCCGGTATGCCGAGGACACTCAGGATAACTTGCTGTGTGGGACGTCAGTCGTGGTAGGGACAGAACGGCATACCGGACTTACGTTGCGGTAGGTGATATAATACGAGCTGTCTCCAAATTGCGCGCCGCGGCTAGCGAGAAGGTAGGGCAGGAAATTATTATACAACGTCGAGGCCAGGCCAATGATTCCTGTGGCGATACAGTCAGGATTGTGTCAGCGCAGATAACATACATAACATACCCCAGATGGAAATTAGAAGACTCGTCGACCAGGCGAGTTTCTTCGTCTCGAAGAGAGCCTTGATATGGTCCATGGTGTAGTTAGATGTCCGACTGAGAACTGTCACCTTTGCTTCGTGCGAGCCATCCTTCTTCATATCAGCCGACTCGCCAGCATCCCGAAGCTGCTCCACGGTGAGGCTACAGGTTGTCCCATTGTAAGCCGCGAGACGATGCACCACGGCTACAGCATCAGCGTCACGTCCGCGGCCCACCAGGTAACGCGGCGACTCCTCAAGAGTGAATGCAAAGAAGCGAAGTGCCCAAAGGACTAGTGTGAAGCCGCCGAGAGTGAAGAGAAGGTAACGCCAGCCCATGTTCTGAGACCGGGTGCAGGTACCTGGAGCGGAGTCTTGGGGACATGAGAAGTTTGCAATTAGAGGCCAGGCGATCTGGAAGATATTAGCATATATATGCAGGTTACAGGATGCAAAACGTACCAAGTTGACGAACAGCTGGCCGAGGGACCACCAGACGGACAGGACGGTCAGAAGATATTGGTGAGAACCAGGAACAAAGTCTAGGGCCAACGTCAGCACGCAAGAACAACGGCAAAGATGGTGTACACGGACCAAGGAACACCGCAGAGTCAACAGGCAGGTTGCCTCCGACACCAACGCCAAGTGCGGCAAGAAGAGAGGCCAGCGTGACAAAGTTGCCGGAGCCTCCTGCTGCGAGGCCGAATATGCCCGCGATGAGAAGAGTGAGATTGAAGGACCATCTTCGTCCCCAGATGTCGCAGCCGATTCCCCACACTACTGCGCCGACAAAGAGACCGATGTTGGATGCTAGAGACAAGAAAGGACCATTGAACTGGAATTCGCCGATTACCGGGGCCAGGATGAGTCCTCCGATGAGCTGTCATCGGCGGTCAGGACAAGGACGGACAGACAGGCTAAACAAGACTCACAGGCCATACGCTGTCACTATATTCCAGAAAAGGTCTTCAGCAATGTGTTTATGACTCGATCCGTAGTATACATACGCGAACCAGCCAAAGCCCGCGACGATGAAGAGATACCACTGGGAGAACACGTTCAAAAATGGCTCGTATTCAACAGTCGCACAACACACCTGATACCTTCCCATTCCTATCTCCTGTATCGCGCTATTTAACAACCGAGCTTTCGCTTGATAGACAGGATCTATGGTGCCATCCTCGTAAATGTCGTTGTTCGCCTTCTGTATTGAGACGTCGGGGTAAAGAGCACCCGGTGAGCTGTCCTCTTTCGTGAACTCGTCGGATTTGCGGAGTGCCATTGACATGGTGGACACGACGGGAGCGAGTGTAGAGGGCAAAAGGAAGGGGGGGAAGCCGCAATTTATGGCAGTGGATGGTTCGCGGTGAGCCTGTGAACGCTATGCCGATTTTATGCCGGTCTTACGTATAGTTCCTTCTTCCACATGGTTCTCCAGGAAGTTGTAACTTTCCAGACCTTCCTGCTCGAATTTCCGGATAAGCACTCTCTCAACGCCGATCGTCCGGGGGTTGCGGAGGACCCTGGCCTATGCAGTGCTCTAAAGATGTGCTGTGTGGCTGGCTCGAATGCAATTTGAGTCGCGGCAAGACTGGGCCATGGGCATGGTCATGGGTCATTCTAAGACGAGGCCTGATCAAGAGAATATTAAGACAAAGTCCCCAGGGGTGCAGATCGTGGAGGCTGACATGCGAGATATGTTATCAGGTGAAGTGCGACAATCGAACTTGCAATTGACCTGTACTACTTCATATAGCCAACGTATCCCACTGAGTCCTCCTGCCGCATTCCTTCGCTGCTCAGCTCCGCCTCCCGAGTCAGACAGTCCAAGGCCGCAAAATCAACGTAGGAGAAGTCTGCTGACGACATAGGCCTGAAGTGCCGGCGGTCTTTAGAGGGACATGCATTGTTTATCCCACTCAAGAACCCTTGCTCTACTGGGTGTCTCGTGATCCTGTTGAGAATATCGAAGGCGGTATATACAATGACGGTGTGTTCTCACGTCATTACCCTGTGTCGACGATCCTCGCCATGACCGGCGACCGATATGCCAGTAGGTAGACGAAGTCCTCACCGACGTTTTGAGGACCAGAAGCTCAAGCGTGTTACCGACGCAGGTCAGCTAACCTCCTTCACGTGGTCAACAGACGATCCATCTGAATGGACAGTGGGACAGGCCCCTCAACGTCAAGTTCGCATTGTAAGGCACGCTTCATCTACTTTTTACGACGACAGTTAGTATCAACCTGTTGGTTCATCACGATTTACCGACGAAGAGGTTAATATGACTTCGAAGGTGGTTTGACTTGCTACTGGAAATACACATCATAATCGCTACGATGACACCAAAAGCAAACGGGCGGCAGGAGCAGGCCTTTTACTGGACAGAGGCACCACACAGATAGAGGCATCCCAGCAGCCCGCCCTTTTCATTCTGGGTTTTGAGCAGTTCAGCGTCACGGTCAGATCGTCGACAATGTTTTCCAATGGGGACAGTGACAAGAAAAATATCGACTATGGTGACTTCGATCAAAGTCGGCACTGAGAAGCCAGTGGAATCTAATCACAGTCTTCCATTATGCACATCTTAAGTGTTGCCCGCCTAGCTCAATCGGATAGAGCGTCAAACTCTTAGAGTGCGGGTGAAAGTTAAGGCTCCAACCGTTTAGTTTACGTGTAAACTTTTTTTGTAAACACACAGTAAACGGTTGTAAATGTTTATAAACAGTTTATAAACAGTAAACAAACAGTTATTACAGGGATCTAACCCACTCTAGTGGATTGCGCCAGATTAGCCTCTGAGAAACCTGTGTGAGCCTACTGCTCTACTTGAGCCTGAAAAGATAGGTACAAATGTCAGTGCTTGAGCAACGCAAGGCACTTGCTTGATGCGCAAGAGAAAAGCGAGGCTGCAGCTTCCTACTTACAATATTGATGTCCCAAACACTAGGCCCGACTCGGACGTGTATAGATAGTGCACCTACTCATGCGTACAGGGGAGGAGCAATGCGTGCATCACATCCCGAGCACGGACCGGCCATCAGGCAGCATCTGAACACTCCGTACCTCAAGCATCATGCTATGGTCATCCCTATGGCCCGCTGGTGTCCCCTACGCATAGTACGCAGATTGCGGGCACACGAATAGTCTCGATTGGCCAGTGGAGGTTGCGGGAGGACAAACACTGGCAATCACAAGCTGCAGGAGCGGTATTGCCAGGCAGCACTGTACTGCGAGGGTAAGACCTATGAAAGGTATCCGTGGGGCTTGTAAGAAGCTTGCGGTTCCGCCTTTAGAAAGGTTGGCATGTCCTATCATTGACCTCGTCATTGA